AGGAAGAAGAAATGCCATTTACGAAATGGACGACTTGGGCCGGTACTTCGACCCAAAAGAAGGGATTGGTGAGGCTCGAACCGATTTTGACGTTTCTTAACTGCGGGCGCTATCTGTAGGATCGAACGTCCTCCACGCGAGAGATAACCTCGCCCTCGGTGAGGGACGAGGTTGTGCACAACTCTTATTTTGGCGGCATCAGATGGACCGCCGGCAGATGGGAGGAATCTATCTATACCAACACCCAGTTGCAGCTGCAGCAGCAGACCGCTCGCTACTTCTGCTGCCTGTGCGTCGCTACTTCTGCACTCACTGTGGTGCCGTGGTTCGTGCAAAGAGCGGCCCGCAGGCCCGCAGGACACAAAAAAGGGGGGTACACGGCGGAAAATGGGGTTACCCCATTATCGTATATTCTACCGAGCCCCTGGTGCTCAGTTAAACAGTTTGGGAGTTTCCTTAATGCGAGCGTCCTTAAACCGGGGTCGACTGTACATCCGTGGTCCGGTAAGGGGTCCGTACGTCTAATCCTGCTGCTGCCGTGATATGCAGCGATATGCAGCGCGTCAATAACAACACCGGTCGATGCGTGCCGGTGGCCCTTGAATAGGATCGGTGAAATTGCTTGGCAGAGACTAAATCACCAAGTCCTTCTGTACATTGAATAGCGCCGGTCCCTCATCCAACTACCGCCGGCTATTCCGGCGTTCTTATTCGAACTCCCCACACTGTACACAAGATCCACCGCTGCGATTGATGCATAGTCGATGGACTTGTGTTGTACACGCCCTGACTCTTTCAAGAGGTGAGTGCAGAGTACAGCGTGCAGAACGGATCAAGAAGCCTAGCCCCGACGGTTCGGCACGCCGTGAGTTTCAGGACATAATTGGCTCTAACTCGAAAGGGTTTTGACGTTAACACCTTTTCTTCTCAAGAAGGACAACAAACTAAGGAAACCGCTGTCAGTAGCAGTGAGTGATACCTGCAGCCCTGCTCCTGCAAATCTCTCGAGGATGGGAGAGGAGAGGCGACGAGAGGCGAAGCGCCGTGTTGTTCTTTGTCAACCCACCTCCGATGCCTGCCACTCCCACCTAACAACTCTTTCATTGTTTGCTTCGGGGTATGGTGTGTGGCAGATAGGCAAAACCGGTACAAACAGGTGGTGGAGGAGCGGTTCATGGGCATCGTGCGGAGGTCCATATATACTCTTCTACTCTAGCAAAGGTGGAAGAACAGAACCGGAGACTACAACAAAGACGGCGGCGGCGACGTTGTTATGGGGCTGTGCTCATCGACAACGCATGGGGTACGGTGGGAGGACCGCTGGGGCAGTCCAGGCTGTAAGAAAACTCTCCATCAGGTGAACGATTGCACTAGGCGATGGGTGGTTGGTCAGGAGGTTGGTGCGGTGGTACGTGCAGAAACATCTGCATACACCGCCCAACTTGAGTTGCATTGCAGGCATTCGCTCGCTTTCCTTATTTGCTGGGACTTGACGGTT